CAAAGAATCTCCCACATCTTGGAATCAATGCGGCACTGCTAGAGAGCCAGCAGCACCGTCCTTTCCTACCTTCAGGGTAGACCCCACATTTCTCCAAGGAAATATTCTGAATACAGCGGTCAGGGGCTTTGATAACCTCTTGGAATTTTCTTTACTTTGAGCAAATTAAGCGAGCCAGAGAGGAAAGCGTCGGATGCACATGACATAGCACTTTAGCAGGGAACTTTCATCCTGGCTTCCTTCGTATTTGGAAATAAATGCTTAAAGACACGGATTCATTTTTATTTGGCAACAGAGACACAATGTAAAGTTGAAAATCCCGAGCCCACCCTTGCCCCCCGGCGGGGCTTCACACTGGGGGGTGCCAGCAGGCCAGTGGCCCTGCTACGAAGAAGGCAGGCGTGTTGCTGCTACCCCCATCGACTTAGTTTTTCCAAACCGAAATAAAACCAATATATCAGTCTGGATACATAGCCCCCAGTCTTGCGTGTGTGCAGCGTGACGAAACTTGCAGAAGATCTCCGCAGAGAGAGAAGGATGGAGATGGATATCTCTGGAGCGCCCTCAGAACTGGTACCTGCCACGCAAACTGCCTCTGAGTGTTGGGAGGACCAGCGAACCAGGCTCCCTGTAAACTCATCAACTTTGTGGAAGGAGCTACTTGCAAAACATCGCCCCACTTGCAAAGATGACCAAGTCTGGAGCCACTGCAGCCCCGAAGGAAACTTCCCTGCCTCAGTGTGTGCCAAGGGGCCCCGACTGCGGGCTGCCCCCCACCCCGGCCGACAGCACCTCGCAGGGGGGAGGAGGGTGGGGGGGGGCAAGGGCCACAAGCCCTCAGGAGGGGCTCGATGCCTCCCTTTTCCTTTTCATTTAAGCATCTCTGAAACGGAAGCAACCTCTCCGTCCTCCGCTGCCTCTAAGCATCACCACCAGCGCCTCCACTCCCTCTAAGGAAGTGGTAAGGAGAGAGGACTTATCTTAAAAAAGGATCATCATTTCTGCTCATCTGATTGTTCCTCCCCTAGGGTCCCAAGCCCTGAAAACATCCAACTTTAGCCCCTTTCTCTACCACTGCAAGTCGGAGACCAAAGGCATTTGTAAAAATCTGCCCCACTCTCCCCCCATCCACACCCACCCCCCACCCCCCGCCTCGCCCGCCAGCCCCAACCCTCTTGATGAAAGTTTGTAGAAAAATCAGATTTAACTTTCCTTTCTGCCTTCCACTTCCTTTTCCCTTCCACTCTTAATTCAGTTTTCATTTAAAAGACAACTTTCATTCCCTTCTCTGAAGCAAGCAGTTTCCGGATCTGATTTTTGTTACGACCTGCGTGTGTTATGTGCGATTCTTCCAGAGGCTGATGCTGGAAGGCAGTGGGCCGGGGAGGCCAGCCCATCTTCCCAGGCTCCGCGGGAGGCAGGAGGGAAGCGGGAGCATCCCCGGGAGCCCGAGCCCCGAACCGGGGGCCAAAGCAACTAACTTTGCAAGTTACAGCGGGGCCCGCCAGTGGCAGGCAACCGCCGGGCACCTCCCGCGCCAAGGGCTCCTTCCTGGCTCCAAGGCTGTGCGGAGATAGTGGGGTGTAATCAGGGGAATGGGGGGGGGCTGGGTTTCCCCCCCTCCTCTCCAGCTTCAGTGAAAGTGTTACAAAGTGAGTCAGGCGACTGAGGATCATCTGACTGAACTTTCTTGAAACCGACACACATTCTTGTCTGCCGGCAACTCGCTTTTTGCCTCCTTCCCCCTCACCCCTCTCCCCCTTTCCTCCTGCTGCACATCTTACTTTCTGGGAAGAGATTGCATCCCTTCCATGTGGGGGAAAGGAGACTGTCAGCTCTGGATTAACTTGGCCCTGGCACTGTCTTTGCCAAGCATCTTGCTGGCCTGAGAATCTTGAAGGCTGGATTTTGGATTCTTGTTTCTCTCTTTGCACATTTATTTCCCTCAAACTGCTCCTTCTCCTTTGCTTTTTCATAACTGTGTACTGCATCGTCTTTTAACCCACGTTCTTGACCAGCCTTCACACACACAGGCACACACACACACACACACACACACACACACACAGACCCAGGCACGCACAACTGCTTTACAGGTCTTTTTTCTTCTTGTCGCCCTCGTCTATATATACGTTGTTGACTTCATTAAATTATATAAAGTGCCATTCTAGTTTCCTGGATGACCATCTCTCTCTGTGTGTGTCTCTCTCTCTTTTTCTCTTCCAGCTTCTTACTTCTGTGATTAGTATTGCCATTATTCCTTTCCAGGAATTTCTATATGATTTTGATAAGCATCATCATATTTAGTGTTATCAGCAAAGACACAAGCTCAAAAGTGACATCTTTTCCATGAATCCAGGAAAGAAGAAAAATCCACTCAGTTCAGATAAATCCTGGCAATCCCCAAAGGGAAAGGCATTGGATATGTGCTTGATGAGAAAAGAAAATGAAAAAGGGGGGAAGAAAACTCTTCTACCTGCTTCTCAAAACCAGGGCATTGCTCAGTCAGATTAAACCCAAAGAAAAACATTGACAAGTAACCAATTCACAGCATGTTTTTTCACACATTATTTGGGAAAAGAGACAGGTAATAGTCAAAGTTAGAGAAGCTGTAAGCAATGGACAGGCTTGCTGTGAAGTGTGCAAGGTCTGAGGTAAATGCCTTAAAATGTGCAATTTAACTTTCCATTTCGGAGTGTTGAGGCTTCTCCCAAGTTAGGGGCTGGGCGGAGGGGAAATGGTTGCAGTGTCCATGGCTGAGCACCTCCCTGGCGCTTTCGGTTCACCTGCGAGCCCCCAGCAGGCCTCCCTCTCCGCCAACCCCACCCTCAGGGTTCCCAGGAAGCTGGGAGACCTCTATATCCCCAGACCTGAGCTCTGGCCTGACCTCACGGCCCGGGCCAGGCTGGTCATCGGTGGCAAAATCCCGAAGGGGGTGGGAGGAGGCAGGAAAGCAGAAACAAACATTCTAAATAGTCTCTTCTGCAAAAGAACACTTCTGGGAACCTTGCTTTATATCTCATTTTCTTCTCTTTTCTCTCTCTCTCTCCCTCTCTCTCTCTCAATCTCTCTCTCAAAAAAGAAAAAAAATGACTGTTTAACATAAGAAGAAAAAAAGAGCCTCCTTGACACAAAGCTTTTGTTATCCAGTTGATCAGCACCACGCTTTAGATACTTGTAAGAGGGGGAAAAAAAGCCCCACAACAGACATTGATTTTAGAAAATCAATAACCAACATTTAATAAAAGGAACAGAGGAAACACAAGAGAGGAGAGGGGGACATTAGGTATAATTTTAGTGTCTACTAAATTACCCAGAGATGGGGAAGGGGAGGTCTCCTGAGTAAGGACCACCTTAAATAATGCCAGCTACCAGAATGAAGAAAAAAATTAAATTAAGAGAGAGAGAGAGACAGAGACAGAGAGACAGAGAGGGGAGAGATGGACTTAAAAAGAGGCAGCCTCAACTGGATCTTGGGGAAGCAGCTCGGAATATATTATTGTACTTGTTTTTTTTTTTTTCTTTCTTTCTTTTTCTTTTTTCTTTTTTTTTTTTTTTTTGTAATACTAAGCCAAGCAAATAGATCAAAGGCAGCACAAAGGGAAAAGGCAGGATAACGTAACGAACAGTTTCTGACCAAAATTCCTCTATCACTCCCCCATATGGCTCGACACCTCCAGCACAACAAGCAGGAGATGCACACACACACTCACACTCACACTCACGCGCACTCGCGCGCACACACAACCTGGAGAGGCAGAGACCCCGGGAGCAGCATCATCTGTCCCGAATCAGGGCTCCGGGTCTTTGTGCCTCCCCGGCCCGCGCCCCCCCCCCCCGCCCCGCGCGCGGCTGCCGGGCAGGCGGCCTCCCGGGAAAGTTGGTCCGCGTGGGCCGGGGCGCGGGGCGGGCGCGGGGCGGGCGCGGGCGCGGGGGGCCGGAGGCCGGGGAGCCCGGGCCCGGCCCGCGGGCGGCGGCAAGTTTCCTTCCCCGGCCCGAGCCGGCGCTCCTCGGCTTGTTTGCTTTGGGGGCTTGGGCTTCCTTCGGAGGCTCGGGGGGTCCCCCGTCCGCTCCCGCGGCGCCCCTCGGGTCCCCAGCCCGCTCCCCTCCCCGGGCGCCTCCCGCGCTCTTTGCCAATCACTTTCCTCTTTTATTCCCACGATTTGGTTCGGGGGGTGATACCTGGGGGGCGGGGGCCCGGGGGCCGGCGTCTCTCTGTCCTGCCCTCCATCCCTCTGCGCAACCCCCAGCCAGGGGGGCCCCGGCGCGGCCGCCCCCGCCTGCAGCCTCCTGCGTCCGCGCGCCCCCCTCGCCCCCATCTCCGTCCTCCTCCCTGACTCAGCTCGGGTACCGGGCGCCTCCGGAGCGTGCAGAAACTGCCCAGAAAAGTCTGTGTGCGTGCCCCCCGCGACCCCGCGGCGCCCGCCCCCGCCCCCCGGCTCCGGGCCCCGGGCGCGCCCTGCCGGGCCCCGCCGCCCGCGCGGACCGTTACTTGGCGGCCGCAGACTCCGGCAAGAAACTTTGAGGCCGGCGGCGGCGCAGCCCGGGCCCCCCCCCGCCGCCGCCGCCGCCCGCCCGCCCGCGCCCGCGCCCGCCCGCGCCCCCGCCCCCGCCCCCGCCGCCGGGTCCCGCGCCCCGGCCCCGGCCCCGGCCCCCGCCCTGCCCTGCCCTGCCCGGGCCGGGCGCTCCCGCAGCGCGGCCGGGGACCCGCCCGCGGACCGGGCGGCGGAGCGCGGCGGAGCGCGGCGGAGGGCGGCGGGGACCCCCGTGGGCGAGCCTCTCCGGGGCGCTCCCGCCGGCGCCCCCCCCCCCGGGCGCCCCGGGTCCCCGCTCCGCGCGCTCCGGCTCGGCTCCCGCTCCCGCTCCGGCCCCGGGAGAGGCTCGCCCGCGACCCCGGGCGCCGTCGCCGCCGCCTCGCCGGCCCTTCCCGGCCCCCCCCTCCTCCCCGGGGCCCGCGCCGCCGAGCAGCCCGGAAAAGTTTGGTTCGGGCCGCTTCTTACCGTTTTTCCTCCTGGGATTGGCTTGTTTGCGCCTCTTGCACCGGGGGCCATCCGCCATGATCGGCTGCTTCATTGATAAGAGCGGATCAGATGGCAGCTCGCATGGACTCGGCGCCCTGCTCCGGCAGCACGCAGGCTCGATCTAGCAAACCAAACAGCGACAGTGTGGGCATCGCCGCGCCCGCCGCCGGCGCCCGGGGACAGGGACAGGGCCGGCCCGGCCAGCGCCCCCCCGGCACCCGGCACCCGGCGCCCGGCACCCGGCACCCGGCGCCCGGCACCCACCCCCTGCGCCAAAGCGAAACTTCGGCGGCCCCCTCCCCGCCCCCCGCCCCCCCACCCCCCCGCGGGCCCCGAGGCGCTTTGTGTGCGTTCCTGGGCGCTGCGCTGCGCCCGCGAGGGGGGCCCCGGCGCCCCAGCCCCGTCCCGTCCCAGCCCCGGCCCCGCCGCGCCCCCCGGGGCCCCGCCGCGCCACCGACCGACCCCGGCCCGGCCCGGCCCCCGCCCCCGCCCCGCGCGCCCCCCGCCCCCCCCTCCCCCCCGGCCCGGCGACCCGGGGCGACGCCAGCCTGCCTCCCGCTCCCATCCCCGTCCCGCGCGCCCCCACCCACACCCCACACACACAACCCCGTCCCCCCCGGAGGAGACACACAAACAAACAAACAACAGCCCCCGGATGAAGCACACTCGGGCAAATTGATAATAGTAATTATAGGGAGCCCGCTCGCCCCGCGCCCCCTCCCCTCCCCTCCCCTCCCCTCCCTGGGAGTCTATCGAGGCTCTGTCTCCATCCCCCCCACACCCCCCCACACACACCCACCGCCACCCCGGTCCCCCGCCCCCAAATTAAGATTTCCCATTTCACGCCGAAATAAGAAGTATAATTATAAGCCTCTTTGGACACTAGCGCTTCCCACCCCCCTACACACACACACACACACACACACACACACACACACACACACACACAACCCTACACACCTCCCCCCCACCGCCACTTTGACAATATTTACTTAAGTATTTTCCCCCACCTCATTCACACACATGCTCCCCTACACTGCTTCCCTTAAATAGTTCCAGTAGAATTTCTCTTTCTTTTTTTTTTCTTTTCTTCTTCTTCTTTTTTTTTTTTTTTTCTATCCCCTCAAGAAAGGAAAGAGAAAGTCCAACCGCTACGGCAATACTTTGAAGCTCTACTTAAATGATCGTATCCTTTCTGGCTTCGAAACTTTTGTACCTAAAAATCGAGAGAGGCGCTGCATTTTTTTTTTTTCCCCTTCAGCTGAAACTGTCAAAACTTGGAGAAGGGGAACCTCGGAGGCAGGCAGCAGAGGTGGAGAATCCCGAAACTCGGTGGAGGTTGGGAAGATGCTGTGCCTCGAGGATTAGTTTAAACAGGGGCTATAAAAGATGTAACAGATGCAAACTGTAACACAAGGGCCATTAACCCTTCCTCTGCCGGGCACACTCAGTCCCCAGCCCCGCACCTATTGTCTCCTGTGCTCAAAGCTTTGCAGAAAACCTGGAAAGTGAGTATCAGTTTCCACACATTTGCTGAGAGGAGTGTGGTGGTGGTAGTGGGGGGGGGGGCGGCGAGGCAGAGAGAAGGGGAAGTGGATGGTTTAGAAAGCACCTTGAATTTAACCTAGGCATAGTGGGTGACTTTTAAGTTTGACACATTTTGTCATTTCCTGGCTCTCCTATTGATTTGAAATTGTTGGGAAAAATCCTGAAATCAGGAAACGGTCACACAAGTGTCTGGGATGAAACAGCTGGCCTGTCTGTATTCATGCTGAGACTTACACACGATTGCATATAAATACATGTTTAATAAAGTAAGCTGCTAGTTTTATGAGCCTGTGTGTGTGTGTGTGTGAGAGAGAGAGAGGGGGGGGGGCATTTGTGCTGTAAACTTTATCTTTTGCCTGTTATTTCTAACTCTGGAGTTAGTAATCTTGCCTTCATCATTATAGGGGGAGCATGTAAAATATATAAGTAGGTGGGAGATAAACACATTCACGTTAGCCGGGCTCATCACTGTTCCTGGGAACTCCTGCTATCTCTCTCTCGACTTTTCGGTGCCAAAGTAGGGAATGGGATATGTGTGTGCATGTGTCTCCTGCTCGATCCACGTCTCTATTACTTTGCCATTTAAAACACAATTTCAAAAGTTACCCTTAATTTACAACTCTGATATCCTGACAGCAGCTTTCTTCCCAGCTGTAGTGACCCCCCACCCCCCACCCCACATACACACTTTGGTAAACGACTCAAGTTCCATGAGGACTTTCACTTCTTTATTTATCATCACAGAAATGAGGTGTTACTTCACATACATACACACACAAAGAATAAAATAAAGAAATGAAACTCGCTAAGCAGACAAAAACAGGCAACTTTCTGCTTAGAAAACAGCCTTCTCCGGTGGGAGAGGATGCAGTGCCATATCTACGAGAAAGACATGCCCCTGAATTTGGTAGGTTTGTATCGATCAAGTTTTGTCATTATTAACAGGTTATCTGCCAAGTTTTAATTGCTGAATACAATGAACTGGAGCTAGATGCAAAAAAAAAAAAAAAAACCCACAAAAAAAACAAAACAGGGTTAGATTCTCTCCCCCTGGAGGAGTTTTCCTTCCACCATGTAGTTCTCAATAAAACTTTTCCTCGGCTGGGTAGCAAAAGGCACCTTTGGTTACCTGAATGGACAGGTACAGGGCAAATTATTTGGAGGAGGAAAAGGGAGAGGAAAGCAGGGAGAGGGAGCGGGAGTGCCAGAGAAATCCACGAAGTCACTCTTGGGAAAAGCTTGCCATAAAGGAGCTAAACCCACCTGAAATTCCTGCCCACGGACACTCCTTCTCACTCCAGACTCCCATCCCCACTTAAAAGGAGGAAAAAAAAATCATAAAAGGAGGGTGTGTGGGGGGGAATGACCGTACCAAAAAGGAATAAAAAAGAGAGAAAGGGAGAGAGAGAGAGAGAGAGAGAGAAAAAAAAAACCTACCTGCGAAGTCTTGTTTGTAGTTTTGGCCAGAAATGGTGAGAAGAAAAAGCATGAAGAAGCCGCGAAGTGTGGGGGAGAAAAAGGTGGAAGCGAAGAAACAGCTCCCGGAGCAAACTGTACAAAACCTCGCCAAGAGTGTCGGGAGGCAGGACCGTTATTCCTGCGGAGCAGGTTAGAACTGATCTCTTTCGGCCACTCCAGGAAACACAAACCTGGGGACGGACTGACGTGTTACGCCTCTTCTAATGACATTTTTTTCTTTTTCTTTTCTGTAGGAGAGAGAGGAGAGACCCTGAAACACGCGCCACCTATCTTTGTGGGGAGGGATAATTGAAGCGCCCTGAGCGTGAGCATCATGTGAAAACGTGATCGCCAAGTTTCTCTCTGGGAAAGGATCTGGGATAGATTATACCTTGAAGTCTCCGCAAACGCTTTAGTGGAAGAAATGAAATTCCACCTCCCTCCCTTCCTCTCTCCCTCCCTCTCGCCTCCCTCCCTCCCTCCCTCCCTCTCTTCTCCACGCCCCCCCCCCCCCCCCCCCGTCAAGCCTTTGGCATCATTATCCTCATCACTAAATCCTACAGAGTACAGGGCGGAAAGCGGTGCACACCATTCACAGAACTGGAGAACTCTAAGGGGCGAAAGTTAAAGGGAGAGATCCCGGGTCCTCGATCCAGATCGCCTCTTGCTACACAGATATTTCTAATGACCAGATTGGAGATGCACATTAAGTTGTGTGGATTTCTCAGCACGTCTTCTGGAACTAAATTATTTGCCCCCCCCCCCTTTTTTCTTCTTCTTCTCCTTTTTTTTTCTTTTCTTTTTAGATGGCAGAGCCAGAAAAAAAAAATACTGCATGTGAACTGCATCTTAGGGTGTGCGTATGATGAATTTCTGGATTGGATCCCAATACCCAAAAGTAGTTTGACATTTTTTTTTTAAAGGGTCTCTAAGTAAATTAACATAGAGCGCTGGGTTGACTGATCTCTCTGAATCTCTCTACATCTCTCGGAGACCTCACTGCAAAGTGAGGGAGCCTGTGTAGGAGGAAAAGGAGAAAGGCCATAGAGGAACTTAGCAGGGAAGGAAGAGCACGATATTAAACGGCATGGGGTCTAAGTTTTGGAGTATATATTTTTTTGATATTGCAATTAAAGTAAAATTAAAAAGAAAAGACTCCACCTTTGCTCTGAAGGGATTGGTTATGTAAATATGGAAGGGATTTCCTGGAGAATACAGCTTTCTACTGTATGGTTAATTAAATAATCACTCAAAAGCTTCCAACGTGACGCTTCTGTCGTAATCCAATCAGGTTACATAGGTCCTAAACAAGAAAGATATTTTCCACATCTGGAAGTCAGCAATTTAGCAAGTACTGCACATTATTAACCAATTCAGAGCCCACTTCCCAGGGGAATTTTTTTTGAAGTTTAAGTGTTCTTAACCAATGCTCTGCTGTTTTGTTAATCAAAAAGCTGGTTTACACTGCACGTAATTGGAACTAATATAGAAGTAAATAAAGACAGCCAAATTTGAGGATGCTGAGCACAGGCATTTATCGGAAAAGGAAGAAATCTCTTAGCCTCCAATGGTTCAGGCTCAATTTCTTAAAGGATTGTGAGACCTTTTTTTTTTTTTTTTTTTTTTTAAAGAGTGAAAGTGCCTGAGAACCTCAGAGCACAAATAAACTTCCAGCCCCACAGCCTTTGGATTTCTTGTAAAGGTAAAGGTGGAGGTGTCAATAGGACTACACAACCTCACGCCAGTTTTTTCTGCTTTCAATATTGTTAGTGTCACAGCCCCGTTTTTAAGTCTGATGAAATCTGAAACAAATAATACCCTGATCCAACACTAGACTTTTTACTTATATTAAGATAAACGGCTTTGAATTGTGCTTTGAATGTGTGCCTAAAGCAAGGCTTTGAATGAAGGAGTCACTTGCAATTGCACTCAGAGGAGGGAAGAGCTACCACATGGGTTGCCACATCCATGCAGCCAGAGGTGCATGTCTTTGTATTTTGTATGGGGGGGGGCATAGCCATCCTGCATGACCACAGCCACTTCTTACTTGAAGATGCAGAAAAAGTAAGTTTTCACAGTGGTTTCCAGACTCCCCTCTTTCCCAACTTGACTGTTACAATGAGAATAACTAGATAAATTAATGTTCTTCCCCCCACCATTACAGATATTTTACCCATAGAAGAGGAGCGTTCAAGATCATCAGTCTAAGAGTTAATTATATATATATATAATAAAGAATATATATATATATAAAGAATGATTTCCAATATGGGTCAGACGTATTTTAAATTTTATGTTTCACGTTCCTTTTAATGTTCTGTATGTATACCAAATATATATATATATGACATCAAATTCCTCCTCTGAGATTTAGCCCTACTGTTAATGTCCTTTTTTTCTCCCTCTTCCCACTTTTCCCTCCTTTTTATTTAAAAAAAAAATGGAATCCAGCTTTCTCTAGAAGTTTGTTTATCAGCCTCCCCACTGCCTGGAAAAAAGGATCCCAAGACAGGGAGTGATTCCAGGCAAGACCCCACTGCATTAGCCCAGGTAGTCAGTCATTGGATGGTTACAGTCTCAGATACACACTCACAGGCAAAACCACAGGTCAAAGGATCTAAGGGAACGGCTAACAAATCACTTGTTTTTATTATGTATATTAGCGTCAGCTTACTTAGGATCTGGCTTTAAAAAGGGGGGGGGGACTCAAGTATTTCCATTAAAAACACCTAATCATCTGATTACTCAGGGCTCACTAATTGTTGAAGTGGCAGGAGGCAGCCCCAACACTTAGGACTGGGAGTTCCGACTTTCAGGCATCTGATTTGTGGTAAGAAAGCCATCTTCCAGGTTCCCAGGAAGGTGCGGGTCTGCAGGGCGGCCCGGGCAGGGTCCCGGAGAGGGGGAGCGCCCCGCGGCCCCCCGCCCCTGCCCGGCGCGCCCCGGGCTCTCCCCTCCTCCTGGCCCCCGCGTTCCCACCCGCGCCCGGGCGCAGGGAGCCCGGGCAGCCCAGGGAGCCCAGGGAGCCCAATCTGAATTTGTCGCGAACCCTCCCTTCGTCCGAAGGCCAGGTCGGGGACAATGGGGATCGTGGGATCAGCGGGATGCAGGAGCGCAGGGCGCAGGGAAAAGTCGAGAGAGGACTGGCGCTTTCCGCTCCTCGCACAGCAAAACAAG